GAGAGAGAGAGAGAGAGAGAGAGAGAGAGAGAGAGAGAGAGCTGAGGAAATTTTAAAAAAAGGCAAGACTTGGCAGAGCTCAGTCGAATCAGCCTCTTTTGTGTGCTTCCCGGCTGAGCTTCAGGAAAGAAAACCGTCCTGGGGTACAGGAAAACTCAGAACTTTTTGGTTTTCAAACTTAGGCTTTTTAGTCTCTTGGGCTGTTTGAGAGTGTTGGTTCATACCACGACGTTTAGTCACCAGCTTTCAGGGAAATAAAAGCCTTTTTCAAAAGGAAACCTCCACAGTGTCCATGCATTTGGGAAATATTTTATTTTATTTTATTTTATTTTTGCATATATGATCATGACCCCGAGAGACAGGATTACTGTAGAAGACGGCAGGGGAAATTTCTAATTAGAGAGCATTGTAATTTTCTACAAAATAAAGTTTGCTCATCAATACAAACCTGCTTTTCAAATTGAAGCAGACATCCTTGGAGTAATGTTCAGAACAGAGGCTTTTAGACTTAATCATTTTTTACTTTATTTATTTATTTATTTTTGCCCATTTGTAGATGCTGAGTTTTCAAGGCACCGTTCTGAGATTTTTTTTATGGCAACTCATCCAGGGAGTCAAAGTCAAAGTTGTTTCATCCATGTGTTTGAGAAAAGGTTCTCTTAAAGCAACAGCTTTGATTTCTGCTGCTTCATGCCATCCTAAACTCCGTCCCTCAGCAATTAGTGACAATACGGAAGACCCGAAAGACAAGCTGAGGACACCCGACTTCGCCTGAAGGGCAAACGGGAACTGTGAGCTTGGTCATTATTTATTTATTTTTTTCGTGTGTGTGTGTGTGTGTGTGTGTGTGTGTGTATTGCTCTGAACCATTTTTGGGAGGTGGGTGGGGAGGTGGGTGGGGAGGTGTCTATGTGCAGAAATGTATGTGATCCGTGATTCTTGTTGTGAGGAGGGAATGAGAAAAGGTAATTTTTATGATGTTGGCAGAAATGGCTGGGAATGGTAGAGGCAGAAATTGAAATCTTTTAGATAAGAGTAGTGATCTGTGTGTGAAATAGTTGGAGGGAAAAAGTCCATTAGGTTTTAGATGATTAAGATTTTGTAATTTAATGATTCTGTAGCTTGGCTCTCTCAAAATGTTGTAAGAAAAATGTACAAAGTTCATCAGTTCCTCTTTTAAGTCAACCCAGTGTATTATTTGGATATATACTTTATATATGATTTGTTGTCAATACATACTTCCTACGAGGCCTGGTTGTGACTGGATTGTGTGATGATTCTTATCTTAAACATCAGTATTATTGAAGGAGAGGTTCACTATAAGGCAAGTATTTTTGTGGACCAGCCTTCTTGTCAGTAAGTATTCTATTTCTAAAAAAGAGGGTTTGGGCTGTCGATTAGGTGGTGACTTCCTGTAATGCAGTGCTCTCTTTTTATTTTATGAACTGAGAGGGTACTGGAAAATTGGCCATATTCATGTAAGTGATTATTATTTTGGGCAGTATGAAAGGCTGCTCCTAGATCCGTGCTCTTGTTTTGAATTTGTATCCATCGATTTGTTAATCCTTTGACAAAAACAGATTGTCCACCGCTTCCCATTAATGTGTGCCTTCAACGATCAATTGTTTGCGATGGTTTTTATAAATTTTTAGAGACATATCAGCTATCCTCATAATGGCGTTTAATGTACAAACGCAATTTTAAAACATGAAATTGAATGCAGGTGTTTGGATGGTTAAGCTAAAGTGTTTTCTTCTACTTTTTTTTAAACCAACATTTTGACATTTAATAAAGCAAAATCACATAGTATTTATGTGGGTTGCCAACATGACAACCTTTGTTTTATAAGCGTTTTTATCCACCCCCTTGCCGATACTCCTAAAATGGACACTAAGCCAAGGGCAGAGTGTTGGGCATGGGGAAGGGGTGCTAACGTGACCAGTCTTCGATTCTGAATCGGTCACAGACCATTCAAGCCCACACTGAAAACCGCAAGATAAGAAACGAAAAGACAGTTCAGCAAATCAGCTCAGATTAGCGCTCCTTGCCCACTTGGACCATCATTGCCCTGTTTACTTCTCAAACATTTAATGCAAACTTTTGCCATTTACGATTGCTAAATACACGAGTTATTAGTTAATGACCATTTTTCGCCTTCAAGTTAAAAGAATCATTATTTGCTAGCTTATTTCTTAACTTCTTTGCAGCGAACTCAGAAAACAAACTTACATCCAAACTATTTTGTGTCCAATTGTTTTCTAGCAGCATAACAGAAGAAGGCGGATTTTAAAAGATGTCAAAATATACCTTAAGAAATGTTAAGTTTTTCGACACTGGTAAAGTTGTATTTTATAGTGTAACTAAACTTCAAATTTGGTAAATATTGGCCATTTTATGCAATGACGTTTTTTATAATACTTTTTTTCTGGCCTACTTGTTATCTATTTTACGATGATAAAAGTGCCTGTTAGGTTGTTCATTCTGAACTGGGTGTAAATACCACTTCTGGGCATAACTTTTTCATATAATTCCGATTAAGAAATTGTGTTGATGACATTTGTCAAAAACACA